ACGACAAAGATCCCCCCGTGTAGCCTGTGACAGCCTGCTGGGGCAAGCGCTGTTAGCGAGCACATGTGAAGGCCAGCACGGCACACGAAGGGGTGAGTGGCCAGCATCGCGCCCGGCCGCCTTTGTCTCCCCGGTGGCGATATTTACACACCGCACCGAGTACTCACTTGAGGCCGAGTCGACCTAGGGGAGGCCCAGGACCGGTTTAGATACCCGTCGCCGGTGTTAGCCGTGAGCGGCTTTGCTGGGTTCCGTAGCGCTAACCGCTCCACCACCGCTCCCCACACAAGACGAAACGGACTCGTTCGAACACCCAGCCGCGTGCGTTGCGTTCGTCTCGCTCTAGTGACCCTCCTACCCGCAACTGATGTTCACGACCCCAGTGACTCTGTCACTTGCCCCACAGCTGCCTGGGGTCACCAAGCCCCGTCCCTCTCAAGCGGTGACCTCTCAGCCGTCGAGTGCGCAGGCGGTGGAACTGCACCGGCCGTCCCCTCCCCCCCCCACCGCTAACAACCCCCACATGCCAGAAGGATAGGAGGAGGAGGGGGGGCAAGGTGCCAGGCTACCTATGAAGAGATGAATCTGCTAACGAGCTATTCTTTAATGATTTATAACCAACGGGGGGGACCGAGTATAACGCCGCACGTTTACGCATTGCTATCATCACCACCATCACCACCGTCATCACCACCATCATCACCACCATCATCACCACCGTCACCACCACCATCACCACCACCATCACCATCACCACCATCATCACCATCATCATCACCACCCCCACCACCATCACCATCACCGTCATCATCACCACCACCATCACCACCACCACCACCATCACCACCACCATCACCACCACCATCATCATCATCACCACCATCACCACCACCATCACCACCATCACCACCACCATCACCACCATCACCACCACCATCACCACCACCATCACCACCACCATCACCACCATCACCACCATCACCACCACCATCACCACGTGGATCCTCGTGGACCCAGACGACGCCTCTAGAGATCAGCGGCGACGTTCTCCGTTCCCGACTCCCACGGCGCGTAAGGGCGATGTAGGGGCGATGTAAGGGCGACGCAAGGGCGATGCAAGGGCGATGTAGGGGTGATGTAAGGGCGATGTAGGGCGATGTAAGGGCGATGTAAGGGTGTAGGGCGATGTAAGGGTGATGTAAGGGTGATGTAAGGGCGATGTAGGGGCGATGTAGGGATGTAAGGGCGATGTAAGGGCGATGTAGGGGCGATGTAAGGGCGATGTAAGAGTGATGTAGAGGCGATGTAAGGGTGATGTAAGGGCGATGTAGGGCGATGTAAGGGCGATGTAAGGGTGATGTAGGGGCGATGTAAGGGTGATGTAGGGGCGATGTAAGGGCGATGTAATGATGTAGGGCGATGTAAGGGTGATGTAGGGGCGATGTAAGGGTGATGTAGGGGCGATGTAGGGGCGATGTAAGGGCGATGTAAGGGCGATGTAGGGGCGATGTAGGGGCGATGTAAGGGCGATGTAAGGGCGATGTAAGGGCGATGTAAGGGCGATGTAGGGGTGATGTAGGGGTGATGTAGGGGTGATGTAAGGGCGATGTAAGGGCGATGTAGGGGTGATGTAAGGGTGATGTAGGGGTGATGTAAGGGCGATGTAAGGGCGATGTAGGGGTGATGTAAGGGCGATGTAAGGGCGATGTAAGGGCGATGTAGGGGTGATGTAGGGGTGATGTAGGGGTGATGTAAGGGCGATGTAAGGGCGATGTAGGGGTGATGTAAGGGTGATGTAGGGGTGATGTAAGGGCGATGTAAGGGCGATGTAGGGGCGATGTAAGGGCGATGTAAGGGCGATGTAAGGGTGATGTAAGGGCGATGTAAGGGTGATGTAAGGGCGATGTAAGGGTGATGTAGGGGCGATGTAAGGGTGATGTAAGGGCGATGTAGGGGGCGATGTAGGGTGATGTAGGGGCGATGTAGGGGATGTAAGTGGGAGTAAGGGCGATGTAGGGGTGATGTAAGGGCGATGTAGGGGCGATGTAGGGGTGATGTAGGGGTGATGTAAGGGTGATGTAGGGGTGATGTAAGGGCGATGTAGGGGTGATGTAGGGGCGATGTAAGGGCGATGTAGGGGTGATGTAAGGGCGATGTAAGGGCGATGTAAGGGTGATGTAGGGGTGATGTAAGGGCGATGTAAGGGCGATGTAAGGGCGATGTAAGGGCGATGTAGGGGTGATGTAGGGGCGATGTAAGGATGATGTAAGGGCGATGTAGGGGCGATGTAAGGGCGATGTAGGGGCGATGTAAGGGTGATGTAAGGATGATGTAGTGATGTAAGGGCGATGTAAGGGCGATGTAAGGGCGATGTAGGGCGATGTAAGGGCGATGTAAGGCGATGTAAGGGCGATGTAAGGGTGATGTGAGGGCGATGTAAGGGCGATGTAAGGGCGATGTAAGGGCGATGTAAGGGTGATGTAAGGGCGATGTAAGGGCGATGTAAGGGCGATGTAGGGGTGATGTAGGGGCGATGTAAGGATGATGTAAGGGCGATGTAGGGGCGATGTAAGGGCGATGTAAGGGCGATGTAAGGGCGATGTAAGGGTGATGTAAGGGTGATGTAGGCGATTTAGGGCGATGTAAGGGCGATGTAGGGGCGATGTAAGGCGATGTAAGGGCGATGTAAGGGCGATGTAAGGGCGATGTAGGGGTGATGTAAGGGCATGTAAGGGCGATGTAGGGCGATGTAAGGGCGATGTAAGGGCGATGTAAGGGCGATGTAAGGGCGATGTAAGGGCGATGTAGGGGCGATGTAGGGGCGATGTAAGGGCGATGTAAGGGCGATGTAGGGGCGATGTAAGGGCGATGTAAGGGCGATGTAAGGGCGATGTAGGGGCGATGTAAGGGCGATGTAAGGGCGATGTAGGGCGATGTAAGGGGATGTAAGGGCGATGTAAAGGCGATGTAAGGGCGATGTAAGGGCGATGTAGGGGCGATGTAGGGGCGATGTAAGGGCGATGTAGGGGCGATGTAAGGGTGATGTAGGGCGATGTAGGGCGATGTAGGGCGATGTAAGGGCGATGTAGGGCGATGTAGGGGCGATGTAGGGGCGATGTAGGGGCGATGTAAGGGCGATGTAAGGGCGATGTAAGGGCGATGTAAGGGCGATGTAGGGCGATGTAAGGGCATGTAAGGGCGATGTAGGGGCGATGTAAGGGCGATGTAAGGGCGATGTAAGGGCGACATAAGGGCGACGTAAGGGCGACGTAAGGGCGACGTAAGGGCGACGTAAGGCGATGTAAAGGCGATGTAAGGGCGATGTAAGGGCGATGTAAGGGCGATGTAGGGGCGATGTAAGGCGATGTAAGGGCGATGTAGGGCGATGTTAGGCGATGTAAGGGCGACGTAAGGGCGACGTAAGGGCGACGTAAGGGCGACGTAGGGGCGACGTAAGGGCGATGTAAGGGCGATGTAAGGGCGATGTAGGGGCGATGTAAGGGTGGTGTAAGGGCGATGTAAGGGCGATGTAGGGGCGATGTAAGGGCGATGTAAGGGCGACGTAAGGGCGACGTAAGGGCGACGTAAGGGCGACGTAAGGGCGACGTAGGGGCGACGTAAGGGCGATGTAAGGGCGATGTAAGGGCGATGTAAGGGCGATGTAAGGGCGATGTAAGGGCGATGTAGGGGCGATGTAAGGGCGATGTGAGGGCGATGTAAGGGCGATGTAAGGGCGATGTAAGGGCGACGTAAGGGCGACGTAAGGGCGACGTAAGGGCGACGTAAGGGCGACGTAAGGGCGATGTAAGGGCGACTGCTCTGGAAAGAAGACGCACCACCCCTTCAAACGCGTTGCCCCGGTACAACAGCGTTATACACAGCTGGTCACACACCCACACAAGGAGCTCCCACTACCCACCAACCACCACCCACCAATCACCACCCACCACCCACCAACCAGCCCTCCCCGTACAGCCTGGACAGACTTTCTTTTGGGGCAAGTGCTGTAAGCGAGCAGCACTGATGGAGGCCGGCGGCACTGCGGCACACGAGGGGGTGGGGTGGACAGAACCACGCCCGGCCGCCTTTGTCTCCCCGAGTGGCGATGTTGATGACGACACATCGCGCCGGGGTGCTCGTTTGAGGCCGAGTCGACCTCGGGGAGGCCCAGGACCGGTTCAGACAATTGTCAGCGGCCTTGGCCGTGAGCGGGAATCGAACTCGGCTCGCACGCTAAACTACACTGCACTACCGCTCCCCCAAGCATGCACACACACACGCACACGCGCGCACGCACACACACACGCATACACGCGCACACATGCACATACACACGCACGCACACACACGCGCGCACACACGCACGCACACACACGCCCACACGCCCAGCGGATTGTAAGACGCACGCACACAAGGCGACCGTTTTCTGCTTTCAGAAATAAAACACACCATGTAGAGACGAGCGATAAACCGCGAGCGACACAATTGCACACAGCCACCGCTTTCACCTCGACGGGGTAAAAGGGAAGGAGGGGGGGACGTTTAAAATAAACCAAACGAGCAGACAACCCTACACCACCGCCACCACGGATTTTTGTTCGGGGTTATTTGATCGCAGCAAGAGGGCTCCGTGTAGGCGGAGGCATTTTTAATCAAGTGCTCGTCAGAACGAAATCGTTGTATTGCACGGCTACAGACTTGTGGCTCTTCACTCCCGAGCCGCGGGCGGTCTCGGAGGGAGGCGGTCAAGAATCCGTTTCGGTCTGACCACGAAGTCGCCACCCACCAAAACCACCACCACCACCACCCCCAGCACTAACCAGCACCACCACCCCCACCACCAGCACTAACCAGCACCACCACCACCACCAACACCACCATCACCCCCCAATACCACCACGACCCCCAGCACTAACCAGCACCAACACCAACCACCACCAACCACCCAACACCACCAACCAACACCACCCCCAACACTAACCAGCACTAACACCACCACCACCACCCCCAACACCACCACCACCCCCAGCACTAACCAGCAAACACCAACCACCACCACCAACCACCAACCAACACCACCCCCAACACTAACCCAGCACCAACCGGCGTAAGATGGTCGAAACCACGAGACCTCCTGTATACCAGGCGAGGTAGTTAACGCCTCGCCACCACGGCGGCGGCACACATCATCATCACCAGCCGTGAACTGTCAAAGGGCATCCCAAGCGACCGCCGGTCATTCGGGGGGGGGGGGGGGAGGGGTTCCTCGTGGTGCAACGAACCCACATCTAGTGCCCGCGCACAAAGTCGCATTGCCCAGCGCTCCATCTCCCTCTCGGTCCGCGTTGCCCCGCTCAACTGAGCCGCCGCTCCCTGCCGGGGTCGTCTCACCCCCCCTCCCCTTCTCGTCGCGAGCGAGCCCACAGCGACTTGTCAGCGCGGATGTCCCCTGAAACGGCGTCAAGCAGCTCTCAGACACGTGTCCTTCCGCCCGAGTAACGTCACGCTAATTTATGAACTCCCATCGCTCGACACGGGGTGGTGGGATGGGGGTGGTTAAGTGTATAAGAACGTGAATTAAACTGGTTGCGACTGAGATCGCTAGACGCATCGATTGCGGCGTTTGTCCCATAACATCTCTTGGGGAAACTCATATTCTTCCTGGAGCATCGTCAATTTACTTATTCGTACTCTTAGGTTTTTTCCTGGCAGTCACGAAAGCTTCAAATCTAGAATTTACTTATTCATGTCTCCCAATTGGGACCGCCCCCTTATACCCTTAATTTTAGAGAGCTCAGCTTGATGCCGAAAGCCTTGAAGCTCGTGGAAAGGATCCACTCGCATCGGCAGCTTTCCTCAAAATCCGACATCCGTGGCCCAAACGCAGAAAAAAAAGACACCGCTGCGCTGGCCTTCGCTTATCCGGGGTCTCCTCGACCCAGCCAGAGGCAGGCAGGCAGGCAGGCAAAAACGACGATACTTACTAGGCAGCGTGATTAGTATGAGATTAAAGTACGTGCCAGCTGTGGTCCCCATTACGCCTCGCTCAGTGTGACCGACGGCTGTGCTCATCGCTAAAAAAAACCACCACGCGGTTTTTTTTTTCTCTCTCTCTCTCTCGTTTCTTCGCGACCTCAAGAATCTCGAGCTCACTAATCGCGACCTCAAGAATCACGACCTCACATGACCAAGAAAATCTCTGGCCCAAACTCGAGGCCGCGAACCGACTATTCGCGTCTTACCAATACCACGTCAACACGGGCCTGCTGGCACACGGTTGGGTCACATCACCGCAGCCTGGGACGCGTGGGTACACGGTTGGGTCACATCACCGCAGCCTGGGACGCGTGGGCGCACACAAAGCATCAATTCCCAGCGAGGCGAAGCACCGCCGCTCACCCGGAGAGACGCGCTCGCAATAAGAACGTGGCAATCGTAGCAAACAAACAAACACACGCATGCACGTGTAACCAGCGGCGCAAACGCTCCCTCGCTCAAGCGAGTGTTTGTTTGCGCGTGTCTCTTTACAATTGCCGGCTCTCCTTCGATGCAAAACGACGGGCGAGAGAGCGCCCGGTGTCGACCCCGCAGCGCCGCCAACACACGGCAATGTTGCGGGCTCGGCGAGGGCACGTTCGAAATGAATGCGCCCCTTTGCAAAAGACACGGGCAATGTTCTAGGGCGGAGAAAATAATACCGACGACGCGGTCATTGTAAGACGCTTAGAAGGTAGTCTTTATATATATTTGTTGTAAACACAGCTGCTTTTCTCAATGGTAAAGTAAAAAAAGAAAACACTACCTATTATTGCAGTTATTAGGAATTGCTTGAACGTTTTAGCGTCATGATATTTTGACATCTACACACGGGCCGATCCAGCAAGAGGAACGATAAAACGAGAACAACCCAACGGGGGGGAACCAGTCGCCCGGAACCCACTGGGCGGTGGAGCCGGAGGGCGACGCAGGCAGCTGGGGGGGGCACCCCGAAGCGTTCCGTTCCGTTCGGGGTTCGTGGCGTTAAGCCCGGCGGTGAAGGCAAGGCCCAAGCCATGATAATCCATTCCAGCGGGAGGGGGCGGGGGGGAGACAACACGGGTCAGAATCCGTTCCGGGATTTGTGGCGCTCGGCAGCGCGAACACTTGAAAAACATATCATTGGAACTTTTTTGGCCAGTGTGAAAGAATGAAAAATGAGAATAGGTGTTAACCCTTTCGATTTAAAGTTTTCGTGACTGCAGGGATTCATCTTCTTGGTTCTTTCGGTAAAGTCACGTAGAAGGGAAGTAATAAAATAATAAAAATAAAACATAAAATAATTCTCACGACGGACCTGTTCTTCACCTGCAGACGGCTGCTTGCGTTGTGGCCGAAACGTCGTGAGAATAATTTTATTATGTTTTATTTTTATTATTTTATTACTTCCCTTCTACGTGACTTTACCGAAAGAACCAAGAAGAGGTGTTAACCCTTTCGCCGTTGTCTGGTCTGACACTGGTGGGACTAGGCCATAAAGCAGTTTGTCTCTGGCGTGTAGGCCAATCGGTTTCACAGGCAATGCATACATCATCATCATAGCATGTTTGGTAGCATGTTGCATGTTCACCACAAGTACCGCGTGTGATTAATGTGGAGTTGATTCCCTGCAAAAGGTGTCTAACTTGGTGTTTGAACATCTTAGCACGTGTTTTATTGCGAGAAAGGGTAAAACTAATTCTTATTTTTAATTGTAAAAAAAAATGTTTTTGTGCTAAACTCTACAGTGTGAATAACCTGAAGCGAGTGGCAGGGTGGATTATGATTTTTGATTTTTAAGATTCGTGGTCGTACGGTCTGGCCGCCGATCGCCACCACCTCCACCCTCCACCCTCCACCGAGGGCCAAGAAGCCGCGTCGCTGTGTGGAGGAGGTGGAACCGCAATCTTGGCGAGCCGGCGAGCAAAGCAAAAATAAATAAATAAAATATGAAACTTATTTTTTGGCGACTTTCCCGTTTCGCTTTCGGAAGGCCAGGTGCGATCCACAGTCTGCGTGAGTTTGGAGTTCACCGGTAGGTAGATGGGTGGGGGGGGGAGTGATATCCGACGTAAACCATAACCTCGCGTCTCTCCGGCAAACGAGCGACAGAAACTCTCTCCCGGAAGAAGTCGCCGCCCGTCCGCTCTGAACGCGTCGTGACAAAATACACACACACGGGTGCGACTCGCGCAGTTCAAAGCTGCTCCCCCAGCCGCAATAAAACGTAGAACTTCACGTGGTTAGTCCGACCCCACCGACTGCCTCCCCCCTTCCCCCTCGTCCCCCCCCCCCCCCCAGTGGTGGGTGCTGCTGGTGCCTCCCCCCGCCGGCGCTGGAGGCAACCGGAGTCAGCAATCCTCCTCGCTCGATGGTCCGAGCTCGAGACGCGCGTCAAAAGTTCCGCGTGCAAATGTTTTATTTACCTCCGCTGGTACGTTCTGCCGTGGGCCAATTAAAAAGCACCACGCACGCACGCGCGCGCACAGAATGCGTCAACGTGACCCCGAGCTCTGGAGGCTCACACTAACGATCGCAACCTGGGTCCGTAGCGACGCTATCCATGCCTTGTTCTTCCTCCTCCTCCCCCCCCCCCTCACAGTCAGACTTCCCCTGTTCCCTGGTTTGTGTCGTCTCCAGAGAGGCCGGCGTCGCGGGCGCAAGCCTGGCGAGTTTTTCCACATTCCGGGTCGGTGGGCCTTGGCGTCGTTCATCCCACGGCCTGGCCCCGTTCTTTTACTTTTGTTTGCCCTCTCTTCTTCGCCGAAGGCTGGCGACTCGGCCCGACGATCGGGAAAAATCCGACGGCGCCGCGTTCGAGCGTGGTAGGGAGCGTGCGCGCCAGTGCAGTCGGCCCACCCTCCTCGTCCCTCTCGTGCCAGCCGCCCGCTCCGCTCCGCCCCGACGCACGTGCCGCGTCCGCCCCGATCTCACGGCAGGCGATCGTCAGCTGCCGAGCACGGAGCCAGCTACTGGCGGGCGCTCAATCCGGCTAGAGGATTCTGATCCGCCTGGACGGGCTGAGTTGGACCGCGTGAAAGGCCCCTATCTGGATGGATGTTGATGATTATTGGCAAGGTCCACATGATTGGTGAGATGCAGATAAATGGCGAGATTCAGATGAGTCCAACGTGGATGGAAGATTTAATCCACAAAGAATGGTGACATCTGGATGGTGCAGCTGGAGAGAACAGCCGATCCAAGTTGTATTATTGTCCAATTGAGTTGGAGATCTCCGCTTGCGGCTGATCCAGTTCGGCCAATCTGGATGGTGAGGTCTCATCCGGATAAGGGACGCTGATCTCGGCGGATTGTCCTATCCGAACAGAACAAACTTGACCTGGCCGCATCGTCCCATATTTACAGATGACTTCAATCGGACGGACGCCCCGATGTGGCCTCAGGGCCCGATCCAGCGGCAAGTGGGTGCGGCGCAAGCCTGGGCTCAGCGGCTCGATCCCGATCTGGCTTAACGACGGTGCTAACCGGTTCCTACTTCCTCAACGGCCACCCCCTCCTCTCTCCGCCGACCACCGCCTGTTGTGGCACCAGCCCCTCGCACGATATCCGGGCTCCGGCTCCCTCATCTCGTTGACAACGGCCGCCGGTCCTCGCCGCTTTAAAAACCCGGCGGGGCACATGTCCGGCGGACGGACGGACGGTCACATGCGGCCACGCAGAGCGAGAGTTGGGAGAGCAGAGGAGGCCGCCGGCGGGAAGGGCAGTGCGGCGGGGGCGGAGGGAGGGAGAGAGGGGGGGAGGGGGGGTTTAGGGGGCGGGGGTGGCGACCAGGTGCGGCGGCGCTACGACCCGCACAGGCGATGCATGATGCTGAGGAGGCGAGGCTGCACGATGCCAAGGAGGGGTCGGCGGGCGGGGTCACCGTCCCAGCACGCCTCCATCAGCTGCCAGCACTCCTCGTCGAACAGGGGCAGTCGCTCGGGCCGCGTGCCTGCACGCCGCACCAGAGACAACGATGATCCCACCCCCCCCACCCCCCACCACACCGTGTAGCTTTAACGGACTGTCGGAGCAAAGTGCTGTTTGCGAGTAGCAGCTACGAAGGCCGGGCACTGTGGCGCACGAGGGGGTGGGTGGCAGCACTACGCCCGGCCTCGTCCGTCTCCCGAGTGGCGATGTGTTTACACACCGCACCGGGCACTCGTTTGAGGCCGAGTCAAAGAAGGGGAGGCCCAGGACCGGTTTAGATAATCGTCGCCGGTGGTGACTCGTGGGCGGGAATCGAACTCGGGTGTCCAGGTTCGTAGGGCACCGCGCCGCACAACGCACTCGCGACGCGTACATTAACCAACACCACCCGCATCCGTTCCGTGAAATCCTGCCAGCGGAGAGAGCCCTCCGCACGTCACATAACGGCCTCAAAGTGAACCTAGCCTGGCGCGAGCTAGGCCGCGGTGACGTCGCCGCGTGCGCACGCCCGCACGACGGGCGCCTAGGCACAGTCGCGCGCGACATTCACGCTCAGTGGCGAGCAGCGGCTCGTTGTTGATGACGCACGTATGTACGTACGTCGAACTTTTTGTCGCGCCGTACGTAGCCGACCATGCTAATGTGGGTCACGTGGGTAGTGTGGGTCACGTGGGTCGTGTGGGTCACGTGGGTCGTGCGGGTGCCGTGCGTGCGCTGCCTCACCCCTGCGCACGTTGGTCCAAAGCTGATCCTTGGTGGCGCAGCGCTCGAAGGCCTCGGGCAGCCGCACGGCGCCGGCGCACACGTACCAGAAGAGGATGCCGAACGCGTACACGTCCACCGAGTTGTCGTACTTGCCTGCGCCGCGCCGCGCCAAGGCCGCGGTTGCGGGGGCGGGGAGGAGACAGAGACGAAGGATGGGGGGGGGGAGGTACCATCAAAAGGTGGCGCAGAGAGGTTGTGAGCAGGAGGGGGGAGGAGGAAGAGGGGGGGAGGATGAGATGAGGGGTGGGGGTGAAGGGGATGGGTGGTGGGGGGGGCGGGAGGAGGAGGGGGGGGGGAGCAAATGCTTCTGAAAGCACAGGGTGTGCCTGTATGTTGTGTGTGTGTTTGTTATTGGTGTGTGTGGTGTGTTTGTTATTTGTGTATGTGGTGTGTGTGGTGTGTGTTTGTTATTGGTGTGCCTGGTGGGTGTGTGTGTGCATGTTTGTTATTGGTGTATGTGGTGTGTGGTGTGTTTGTTATTTGTGTATGTGGTGTGTGTGGTGTGTGTTTGTTATTGGTGTGCCTGTTGGGTGTGTGTGGTGGGTGTGCGTGTTTGTTATTGGTGTGCCTGTTGGGTGTGTGTGGTGTGTGTGCGTGTTTGTTATTGGTGTGTGTGGTGGAGAGCAGCGGCACACTGGTTATCGCACTGCCCTGCGAACCCCGCGACCCGAGTTCGATTCCCGCTCACGACCAAAAACGGCGGCGATAAAATGAACCGGCCCTGGGCATCCTCGAGGTCGACCGAGCCTCAAAAGAGCACCTGGCGCGTCGCGTAATCATCGCCCCACGTGTGCCGTGGCAGCCTCCATAGGTGCTCGCTCGCAGCACTTGCCCCAATTGACGTACGTAGGAAGTTTGTTTTCGGTCATCGATACACATTCAAAGCTGCCTAAGCAGCGAGAGCCTCTTCACTAACGAGGGCGCTGTCGAGAGAAAGGGCGGCGCGGGCATTCTGCGAGCTTGTTTGCGGTCCGTTGCGTTTCCGCCGTTCGTCACCGACGGACAAAGGCCGCTCGTTCACTCAGCGGGGGGATACGGGGGAGAGATGGGCACTCGAGGAGAGAGAGCAATCACGGCCACCCCCCCCTACTGAACGTATGAATCAGCGACTACGCAGGATAAATCCATCTCGCCTCTCCACGGTTTCCCGTGAGCGAACGCACTCGGGGGGTCGTGCGGGGAGGGGGGGGGGTATCGGTAAGGTCACCCCACACGCGCGCCCCGTGGAAAATGACAACGAGACGTAATGGTGGCTGCGGAAGGATAAACGCGTTTGTAGCAACGGCGAAAACGAGGAGCGATCGCAAACGCGCGATTATTATTATTATCACCATCATTTAAAGAGCGCTACGGGAAGGCTCACGCTCGCTCGCTGTGCGATGCTGGATCACCGGCACGAAATGCTCGGAATTTTATTTCTCCTCCGAAATGTTTACTCTGGGACTCGCGCGTGAATCACGTGCGGGGGGAGGGGGCTGTTCTCCTGCCGTGCGCTAGCGGCAGGCATCGGCGCGTAAGCGTCGCAAGCAAGCACCTTCGATTAGCGTGCTTGGCTCCGTACGGTGCGAAAGACGTTCAACTTCACTCACCTGCTGCCCGTCCCCTCCCTGAACACTCATCCCTTACATCCCTTACCCATCCCCCGCTACTGCTGCTACTCTTCCCGCATCGGCGGCGAGATGTTAATTGCCTCGCCTCGTATGCAGGAGGTCGTGGGCTCGATCCCGGCCCCTGGAGATGCCCGTTTGTTTGGAGTTTGCGTTCCTCTCTCCCCGTGGTCATGTGGAGTCCCCCGGTTATTCCATCCACACTTAGAATCAACATCACACGTTTGGAGCATTAGGCGGCTTTAAATGTCCCTGTGACGATAAGCCACTTTGTTGAGCGATCATTTGTGAGAGCGAGGTCGCTTCTGAAAAAAAGCTGCATAGCTCAGTGGAGCCTGACCTGGTAAAATAAAAAAACAGTTACACCATTGGAACCTCATTTGCCAGTAAAAAATCTGATAATTCGTTTTTTACCCTTCTATCTGGCAACAAAACTGACACCTTTTTTACAAGGAGTCATGCTGGCATAGACCACAATACCTGCAGTCATAATGCAAAAAAAAAGTTTTTTTTTTCTCATTTGATATGTACTCTATCCCTGCATAAGTAGTTCGCGGACTCGGTGAGACGTGGATCTTCAGTGTTGAAGTGCATCACCTTCCAGGGTTACTTGAAAAGAGCAAGGCTTCACTTGCTCGTTATCCAGCATCCGCAGAATTATGACTTACATGCTGTAACTTTCTGTTTTTTGTACGTATCTACACATGCTGAACTTCTTTCGCACCCTACGTAGCCGACCGTGCTAATCGGACGTGCGGGGGGGGGGGGGGGGGAAACGACAAAAAACTAAAACACAAACAGCATTTCTAAATAAATTAGTTTGCCAATCTGGATTTGAAATTGCATAGCCCCAGTGGCTTCCTTTGTCACCAAGATCCTCTGCGCGTCATTCTTGGAAAACAGTTGACTGCTTCAAATGTATTACGCGCGGCAACAAATACGGACATTCACAACAACCACTGCACGCCTCCTCCTCTTCCCCGCGTGCCGCAGATGACCCCAATATTTGCCGCACGGCATCTTGAGACGGCGGACGCATTTGGAGGCTCTAGAATTCCAAATCATAATTTCCGTTAAAAGGCAGCGCTGACGGCGAGCACAGTACAATTTGCTTGAACGCTTTCCATCTACAGTTTAAAGTGTTTCGGCATTGGCCTGTTGCTCCCATCCATAATTGGGGGGGGGGGGGGGCAGGTAACTCTTGTAAAGATTACCTAAAATTAATGAAAGTGTAGTTATAAAGTTGCGTTACTATTCGGAACTCGTTCACCCCGAAGAAAAGTAACCAAATTGGAGACCAGAACTTGGTAGAGATAAGAAAAAAACCCCAGCACTGTACAGAGAAGGGTCGACGGCCGTGATCGGAGCGTCCTGCTGCGAGCCTGGCGCCAGCGCTACCGTGGCTATCGTCTCGTTGCCTGGCTTGTTGCTGTCACGTTCTGACCACGTGCCCCTGCTGTACACCTGTGAAAAAGAGCTTTGAATGCTCATCGGATTCCTCCCGCAGCACGAATAACCATTCTGATTAACGCAAATTAAACACGAGGGAGGGTGACCGAGCGGTGGTGGGAAGCGTTGCACGTAGCCATGCGAGTGCAAGGTTTTTCTTACTTGTTAGTTTGCCCTCGAACTCACCAGAGAAGAGCTCGGGAGCCATGTGGATGGGCGTCCCCACGATGCTGCCCGACATCATCGCCTCGGGTTTGCAGAATCCCAGGTCGGTGATCTTCGCGCGGTTTGACTTGTCCAGCTACACAGAGCGACGCACACACGGTGCATGCACACAGGCACACATGGTGCACACACACGCACGCACACAGTGCACGCACAGCCGCGCACACGCACACACGCACAGACGCACAGACGCACAAGCACGCACGCGCACGGGGCACGCACACACGCACAGACGCACACACGCACATGGGGCATGCACGCACATACAACAACCGCCATTCGCCAATAAGTGGCGGTGACGTCACCACGACGCTTGTACCACGAAACTACGAATTAAGCACGCATGCACGCACGCATGCACACACGCGCAAAGACAAAGATTACCGCATACAGCCTTGAACTGACCGTTGGGGCAAGTGCAGTTAGCGAGCAGTTACCCCACACCAAAGATCCCCCGTACAGCTTAAACAGACTGTTGGGGCAAGTGCTGTCAGCGAGCAATCTATGAAGGCCGGAACGGCACACGAGGGGGTGGGTGGTCAGCACCACGCCCGACCGCCTTTGTCTCCCCAGTGGCGATGTTTACTACGCATCGCACCAGGTACTCATTTGAGGCCGAGTCGACTTAGGGGAGGCCCAGGACCGGTTCAGATAATCGTCACCGGTGTCGGCCGTGAGCGGGAATCCAACTCGGGCTGCCGGGTTCGCAGCGCGGCGTAGCGCTAACCGCTACACCACCCCAGCTACCCCAACACACAGCACAAATAACCGTTATCCGCCACCGGGCGGCGGTGACGTCACCGCAGTGATCTTGCCAGGCAAGGTGCACTCTGTGCCAGGCTAGGTGCGCCAGGGTGACGCTCTCCGGGAAAGGGGTGGGGAGCGTGCGGTCAAGTGGGCGGACGTACCAGCACATTCTTCAGTTTGATGTCTCGGTGGACAAGGCCTTGGCTGTGCAGGAATCGGATCCCCTCCACCACGTCCAGCGCCACCCGGAGCCGAGCCGCTAAAACCAGCCCCCCCTAAGAGACAAAACAGATCCCACCCCCCCCCCCCCCGCAAAGCCTTTACAGACCGGCGCAAGCACGAGCAGTCAAGGAGCATCTCACGCACACGTACAAGCGAGCACTTGAAGGGGAAACACATTTTTAAAATAAATGAAATGGTGACAGTTTTTTAAAAGTTTTTTTACGTATTTCACGGTTAGCGATGCTTGGGGCACATCCGTCCACGCACCCAGACAAAAAGACAAAGATCCTCCGTATATCTTCTTGGTTCTGTCGGTAAAGTCACGTAGAATGGAAATAATAAAAAAATAAAAATGAAACATAATTATTTCATGTTTTATTATTATTTATTATTTCCATTCTATGTGACTTTAAAAAATAAAACATAATTATTCTATTACGTTTTATTTTTATTCTTTTATTATTTCCCTTCTACGTGACTTTACCGAAAGAACCAAGAAGATGAATCCCTGCAGTCACGAAAGCTTTAAATCGAAATCCTCCATATAGCCTGATCATACTTTCAGGGTGCTGGTAGCAAGCAGCACCTATGAATGACGGGCACGGCACGCCAAGGGGGTGGGTGGTCAGCACCACGCCCGGCCGCCTTCGTTTCACAGGTGTTCATTTGAGGCTGAGTCGACCTAGGGGAGGCCCAGGACCGTCAAATCGTCACTCGTGTTACCCGTGAGCGCGAATCGAACTCGAGTCGCTGGGTTCATAGCGCAAGGCGCCAACCACTACACTCCCGCCTCCTCCATGCCACATACACACACCATATATACACTATGCAGATCTCCACCAGACACCATCTATATATATAAAATCGTGAATGTCTGTCTGTCCGTCTGTGTGTGTGTGTGTGGATTTCGGACCATACGCACTTTCATTGGACGGCGGTTGCCCCTGGCAACGGATAGCGACGCCTTTGCCGCGGGCTGCAGTTTCATTGGACGGCTGTTGCCCCTGGCAATAGGTGGCCACGCCTTCGCCGCTTTCATTGGATGGCGGTTGCCCCTGGCAACAGCTAGCGACGCCTTCGCCAAGGGCTGCAATTTCATTGGACGGCGGTTGCCCCTGCCAACGGCTAGCCACGCCTTCGCCGCTTTCATAAGCTCAGTAAATAATTAAATAATAGCCATTACACAGTATTGTTCGAGCGCTAGGTGGGGGGGAAGGCACGCCACCCGTACCCTGCCTCTGCCGGCTGGACAATTTTGGCGAGGCCGCAGGCTCTGCACGCTACTAGGCCTCGACACCCACCACGCCACTCTGAGGTAAATTCATCAAAGTTTATCGTCCTCTTCAACCCACCCCCACCACAATGTGTGCAATTAATATTACTTTTAAACCCAACGCGCCAACAATCGATTATTTAAATGTTCACTGTACAAATAGTCATTAAGCTGGGTCAGCGTACTGCCAGTCTATCATGTAGACTGTAGCCTGCTTATTAAGCTCGCTGAGCGTACTGCCACTCTATCATGTACACTCTAGCCTGCTTATGAAGCTGAGTGCGTGTACTGGCAGTCTATAATGTGGACTGTAGCCTGGTTATTATAATCGATTCTTTATATGTTCTTTGTACAAATAGTCATTAAGCTGGTTGAGCGACCCCAGTTCGATTCCAACTCACGCCCACCACCGCTCACGATTATTTCAAACGGACCTGGGCCTCCCCTAGGTCGACTCAGCCTCAAACGCGTAACTGCTGTCGTGTGTGAACATCGTCACTGGGGAGACAAAGGCGGCCGGCCATCGTGGATCCAAGTCCCGCGCGAAGGCGGGTCATGTGTATGTGTGTATGTGTTTATGTGTATGTCTGTGTGTCTGTATGTATGTGTGTATGTATGTGTGTGTCTATGTATGTGTGTATGTGTTTCTGTGTATGTATGTGTGTGTATGTATGTGTATTATGTGTCGCGCGCGTGTGTTGTGTAGGGGGAACGGTAGTGTAGTGCTTAGCGTGCTGTCTGTGTCTGTGTGTGTGTGTCTGTGTGTGTGTCTGTGTGTGTGCGTGTGTGGTGTGTGGGGAGCGGTAGTGTAGTGCTTAGCGTGCTGTCTGTGTGTCTGTGTGTGTGTGTCTCTGTCTGTGTGTGTCTGCGTGTGTCTGTGTGTGTGTCTGTGTGTGTGTCTGTGTGTGTGTCTGTGCGTGTGTGGTGTGTGAGGAGCGGTGGGTGTAGTGCTTAACGCTGCGCTACAAACCCGGCGAACCGAGTTCGATTCCCGCTCACGGCCACCACCGGTGACGATTATTTGAACCTCCCCTAGGTCGACTCAGCCTCAAACGAGTAACTGGTGTGGCGTATTAACATCGCCACTGGGGAGACAAAGGCGGCCGGCCGTGGTGGATACAAGTCCCGGGCGAAGCCGGGTAGTACAGCTAGTGCATATATATAGCCTCGAACAGACTGTTGAGGCAAGTGCTGTTCACGGGCACCGATGAAGGCCGGAACGGCACACGAGGGGGTAGGTGGCTATGGGTAGGTGGCTAGGGCCACGCCTGGCCACATTTGTATCCCCAGTGCTGACGATTACACACCACACCAGGTACTCGGTTAAGGCTGCGTCGGCCGTGTTCGTATCGCAGTGCGCCAACCACTGTGCCACCGCTCCCCCACACACGCTCGCACACAATACACAGGACCACTGTGCCACCACTCCTCCACACACGCTCGTACACAATACACACGACCATTGTGCCACCGCTCCTCCACACACGCTCGCACACAATACACACGACCACTGTGCCACCGCTCCCCCACGCACGCTCGCACACAATACACACGACCACTGTACCACCGCTCCTCCACACACGATACACACGACCACTGTGCCACCGCTCACCCACACACGCTCGCACACAATACACACGACCACTGTGCCACCGCTCCCCCACACACACTCGCACACAATACACACGACCACTGTGCCACCGCTCCCCCACACACGCTCGCACACAATACACACGACCACTGTGCCACCGCTCCCCCACACACACTCGCACACAATACACACGACCACTGTGCCACCGCTCCTCCACACACGCTCACACACAATACACACGACCACTGTGCCACCGCTCACCCACACACGCTCACACACAATACACACGACCACTGTGCCACCGCTCCTCCACACACGCTCACACACAATACACACGACCACTGTGCCACCACTCCCCCACACACGCTCACACACAATACACACGACCACTGTGCCACCGCTCCCCACACACGCTCACACACAATACACACGACCACTGTGCCACCGCTCCTCCACACACGCTCGCACACAATACACACGACCACTGTGCCACCGCTCCTCCACACACGCTCGCACACAATACACACGACCACTGTGCCACCGCTCCCCCACACACGCTTACACACAATACACACGACCACTGTGCCACCGCTCCTCCACACACACTCGCACACAATACACACGACCACTGTGCCACCGCTCCTCCACACACGCTCGCACACAATAACACACGACCACTGTGCCACCGCTCCTCCACACACGCTCGCACACAATACACACGACCACTGTGCCACCGCTCCCCCACGCACGCTCGCACACAATACACACGACCACTGTGCCACCGCTCCCCCACACACGCTCACACACAATACACACGACCACTGTGCCACCGGTCCTCCACACACGCTCGCACACAATACACACAACCACTGTGCCACCGCTCCTCCACACACGCTCGCACACAATACACACGACCACTGTGCCACCGCTCCCCACACACGCTCGCACACAATACACACGACCAGTGTGCCACCGCTCCCCCACACACGCTCACGCACAATACACACGACCACTGTGCCACCGCTCCCCACACACGCTCGCACACAATACACACAACCACTGTGCCACCGCTCGTCCACACACGCTCGCACACAATACACACGACCACTGTGCCACCGCTCCTCCACACACGCTCGCACACAATACACACAACCACTGTGCCACCGCTCCTCCACACACGCTCGCACACAATACACACGACCACTGTGCCACCGCTCCCCACACACGCTCGCACACAATACACACGACCAGTGTGCCACCGCTCCCCCACACACGCTCACGCACAATACACACGACCACTGTGCCACCGCTCCCCACACACGCTCGCACACAATACACACGACCACTGTGCCACCGCTCGTCCACACACGCTCGCACACAATACACACGACCACTGTGCCACCGCTCCCCCACACACGCTTACACACAATACACACGACCACTGTGCCACCGCTCCTCCACACACACTCGCACACAATACACACGACCACTGTGCCACCGCTCCTCCACACACGCTCGCACACAATACACACACGCACTTCTCTGCTCCGTTTGCAAATGCTCACTCTCAAGCACGAGACTTTCATTTGAATATGTCGTCGGGCCCGAGTGTTCTGATCAAACAAAACCCCACGCACTGATTCAACTGCGCGCTGCTGATTGTATCCACACTTTGAGCAGCTCTTGGCGCCCGCTGGTCGATAAACGAAGACAAATGCTCACAGCTTCGAGTGCGTGCTTGTGTTTCGAAACACGCGCGCGCGCGCGTATGTATAAATAACACAACCTGAATGACAATACTAATACGGACGCGGGCTGCTGCTGCTGCTGCTACGATGACGACGACGACAGAGAAGAAGCAGCGCCGGGACCGTCACGCTCGCGCGTCGGTATCCGCGGCTAAGAGGCGGCTCGCTCATTGTCCCGTCACAAAAGCGTGGCGGGGAGCGTTAATGCCGCTGGCGGAGAAACGGGTGGGTCGGGGTGGGTGGCACTTAGCAGCAACTTCAATACTCCCTTCAAAGGGGTGCGCGGCACTCTCTCCTCACTCTCTCTCATTTTAGCGGGGGGGGGGGGGGGGGGATTGGGCCTTTTCTCTCTAACTACACCGGGAAAGCAGTCCGCGGGACAAAACGCCTTTGTTCGGCGATTGCCGCGAGGATGGACAGAAGCACGGAAGGATGTGGAGCTTGCAACGGCCGAGCCGGCCTGGTGCACTAACCCTTTCCTGCCCTCGGGAACTTTTTGTTTGCGATCGCGGCGAGGCGGCCCGGACGGCCGCGTGGGGAGCCCCGGCCCAGGGTCGCGACGGAGATGCCGAGCCGGAGCCGGTGAGGTCGCGAGAATCCGGGCGTCGGCCCGCCACCGGGTGATCGAACACGAGTTCTCGAGCGAAGCGAAGCAGACGTTCTCTCTCAGCCGGCTCACCCGTGACCGCACCAACGGGCACGTCCAATTCCGTGCCGCGCTTAATTGCGGATCTGACTGTCGGGTGATGTAAATGTTATTCACGGTGGCAGAGGTGGGTGGCAAAGTTCCGTCCCCTACTGCAGGGATCCACAGCCCCCAGGCTGCGGGCTGGTACAGGTCCGCCGCCTGTTAGGAACCAGGCCGTGGACCGGTAACCCGGTCCGTGAAAAAAGTTGTCTTCCACGAAACCGGTTCCTGGTGCCAAAAAGGTTGGGGACCGCTGCCCTACCGCACGAACGAGGTCAGGTGCAGGGATATCGCAAGTAGTTTTGCGATATCCGCTTCCGCACTTCGACGTTTAGCGAACAAGGGAGACGTTGCGCCGTTCTGCGTGAGATCCGTTCAAGCCCTGACATTCACCCTGCAGTGACTGCTGCCTGGACAACAGCGGTGGAACGGGAGCGAAAAGACAGATGGACGGACGGTCCGACAGTCGGGCGGACAGATGGATGGATGGTCAGAAGAAGTATGGATGGTCAGACAGATGGACAGACGGACGAGCGAATTGTGGCTGAGCAGATGGACAGACAGTTGGACAGACGGACGAACGGACGGATGGATGGAATGGTCCAATGGAGAGTCAGAGAGATAGACGCTCGCTCGCAGTCGGGGCGAAGTCGAGCCATCTCCGGGGTAAACTCAAACTAAACTGTTTTTATTTTACCAGGTGAGGCCCACTGAGCTATGTAGCTCTTCTTCAGAAGCGACCTGGCCACGAATGATAGCTCAGCGGAGTGGCTTGTCGTGCGGAAGTTTACAGCAGCCAAATATTCTTCACGCACACTTCAAGATGCGGAGGGAAAGACCGGGGGACCCGGAGAAAAATCCACACGACCACGGGGAGAGAGACACGCGCAAACTCAGGATCGAACCCACGACCTCGTGTGTATACCTGGCGAGGTAGCTAACAACTCGCGGATGCAGAGCTGACGCGGCGCAACGGACTCGGACCGTCGCTCTTTCCTCCTCATGGGTTAAAAATCGCGGCGGCGGAGGAAAGAAAAAAAACAAACCCAAGTGCATCTTTTTTTAATAAACACAAGCTGCGTGGAGTGGCCGTAATTAAGAGGCCTCACGCGGAATCTTTCAGCTCCTTGGCGCGTTTATTTATTTATTTAGGCCTGAGAGCAGAAAAGATAAGGCTCCATTTGCAAGGGTCAGAACCGACGCTCCCCCCACCCCCCAGCGTCTCGCTCTCTCTGGGCTATTACGCGTTTTTTTGTTTATCGGCCACAAAACAAATCCCTTCAAAGCCGTCCCCCTCTTATTATTAAACACATGCAAAGGACACGTGAAGGATGCCTCTTGTGCATTTGGCGGGCGGGCGCGCGTTGTTTTGTTTGTATTAATATTTTGTTTTACTGAATTCGGCTAAACTTGCAGCTCGTCGAGTAATATTAATAATAAAACGTTGCTTTGAACGTGACGCGACGGGCACCTTTGTAGTGGGGGCGGGTGGGAAAGTGCTGCCCCCGTGAGCGGGCAAGAGGTCGCTGGAATGGATCTCACAAGTAGTTCTGTGACATCTCCTTCAGCGAGGGTGGCGACTGGACCCTTCGTCGTTTCATAAACTGGCGCCGATAACGCAGCAGGTATTAAAAAAACAACAACGGGGAAACGACACGAAGGAAAGAATGATCGCAAATGAACTCCCGGCTGCGTTGCCCGCAGTTGGGGATTTGCCCACGCACGGTGTCACGAATCCCCAACGGACAACGGACAGAAATGGAAGTCCATCGCAGACCGCGCGACCTCGCAAGTCGCGCGGATGCGGGATGGGCGCGATCGCTCGCTAGGGGCGCACAAACGAGCGCTGAATCGGCCGCGCATGCACACACACATGCACGCGCACGCACACACGCATCGCACGGCCACATTTACAGAGACAAAGATCTGTCTGACGCACACAGGCACGAATGTACGCACGCACGCGCGCGTGGGCGCACTCACCGACGCACACACGGACGCACGAGATGGCACGCACGCACGTATGGTCACACTGACACGCGCGTGAACAAGAGCACATGCGCACGCACCTTGATGGCGGTGTAGAGATCGCGGAGCAGCCGATCCATGATGAGGAGCACGGCCATGTTGGAGCCACCACCGTACGTGTAGTCAATTACGGAGCCGTGCAGAGACACGAGCCGGTCGTGCCGCGGCATCGAGCTGGGTGAGGATACGCACGCAGAATCACACACGCACACGCACGCGCGCAGAACCACACACACACACACGCACGCGCGCAGAATCACACACACACACGCACGCACACAGAACCACACACGCATGCAGAATCACACACGCACGCACGCACGCACGCAGAATCACACACACACACACGCACGCGCGCAGAATCACATACGCATGCAGAATCACACACGCACGCACACAGAATCACACACACACGCACGCGCGCAGAATCACACACACACGCACGCGCGCAGAATCACACACGCACGCACACAGAATCACACACACACGCACGCGCGCAGAATCACACACGCACGCACACAGAATCACACACGCACGCACGCACACAGAATCACATACGCATGCAGAATCACACACGCACGCGCGCAGAATCACACACACACGCACGCGCGCAGAATCACACACGCACGCACACAGAATCACACACACACGCGCGCAGAATCACATACGCATGCAGAATCACACACGCACGCACACAGAATCACACACACACGCACGCGCGCAGAATCACACACGCACGCACGCACGCAGAATCACACACGCACGCACGCACGCACGCAGAATCACACACACACACACGCGCGCAGAATCACGCACGCACGCGCGCAGAATCACGCACGCACGCACGTAGAATCACGCACGCACGCACGCAGAACCACACACACATGCACGCGCGCAGAATCACATACGCATGCAGAATCACACACGCACGCACACAGAATCACACACGCACGCGCGCAGAATCACACACGCACGCAGAATCGCACACGCACGCACGCAGAATCACACACGCACGCACGCAGAACCACACACGCACGCACGCAGAATCACACACGCACGCACGCAGAATCACACACGCACGCACGCAGAATCACACACGCACGCACGCACGCAGAATTACACACACACAAAACAATAACGACAACAGCCAACGTTCGCCAACGAGTGACGTCCTCGCAACGCCTGTGCCAGGCTAGCTGCACTTTGAGGCCGTCACGTGCAATGCGGGAGGCTCACTGCTGACAGGAGGTCACGGGACAGACTCAGGTGCAGTCGGTGTTGACCGACTGAGATGACTGGCAGATGCACCACCTGTGCCAACACTGATGGCACAGGTGGTGCATCTGGTCCAACACCATGTGAGACTAGGCTCTAAGGAAAGCTGTCTCGGGTGTGGACCAATCAACTTCAATCAACTTCAAGGACAGTGCATACATTATCAGAGTTATGTTTTTTGTTTGCATTACGGCTGCAGGTATTGTGGTCTATGCAAACATGACTCCTTGTCAAAAAGGTGTCAGTTTTGTTGCCAGATAAAAGGGTAAAAAACAATTATCACTGTTGGCAGAGTTGTGTCGCACGCGCGCACACACACACACGTGGTATCACACACACACTGACACATACAAGCGGTATTACGCACACGCTAGCATGCACACACACACGGGCGTCATTGCACACACACAGGAACGCACAAGACAAAGATCCCGCGAATAGCCCATCAGGGTCGACACGGCACACGAAGGGGGGGGGGGGGGTGGCGTGGCCAGGCCTCACAATGGCCTACTCATTTCGAATGACGTTAGAGGACCTTGAAAGTTCACCCTGAAGCAGACGGGCGGGTATTCATGGTCGACACACCCGGGCAGCATTAACCAGGGCGACCCGCCGGATTCGAATCGTGAACGACTTAACAAGCGGCGAATGCGTCACCCTTGGGCCACGGACACCGAGATGTGACGTAAGAGGCTCCGAGTCTAAAGTTTAAAGGACCTATAAATACAAATCCTCATCCCTGAAAGGATCTACACGCACGCACAAGCATACGCGGGCACGTATCAATCAGACCGCTCCACCGTTGAATGCACATTAGGTACGGCGCAGAATTACCGCGATGTTGCCATAACGACGGCCAAGGCCGGGAATGGTCAAGTAGGCCCGCGTCGCGGCTCGCCCACATGGGAGCGAGGCGTGACGCGTGGACGATCGATCGCTGACGGCGGGAATGAGATTGATGCGGCGTTCTTGAGAAGCACGTCAAACGCGCAAACGGGGATGCTAATGAGATGCCACGCGTTCGAGGGATCGAGCGGGGCGGCGACTCTCCGCTGGAATCGTACACCTACCGCGGAAATGTTTTGATCAATCGGTAGAATAACGGTCGCGACGCGGATTTGTGTACAGCGGTTCATTGGTACCATCACGTGCGTGCGTACGTGACGTAGCCAACCGCGCTATAAAATCAGAGGTGCGGCTAATGGGAGATTCATCTCAAGGCAGTTGTGGCGCAACGGTGGGCACGTTGGTCAGAAAGAGAGGCACAATCAGTCGGTCACAGGCAGAAGGGGCGATAGAGATCTTGAGCCTGGACCTGAAAAGGAACAGGGAGTCGACAGAACAGATGGGGGGCACAGAGGAGAATGAGCCAAGATTGGTGGGCGAGTGGCAGAGGTCGCAAACGAGTTTTGATTCCTTACCCGTACCCGTACCCGGCCGCACCACGGTCGTAAACGGGTACCCGTACCCGGCCGGGTACGGGTAGCTGGGTATCGGGTAGGGTACGGGTATCGGGTACCCGATTGTGACCTCTGGCGAGTGGATGAGCGGGTGAGCGAGAAAGCGAGCCGGAGGGCAGATGGGCGAGCAGACCAGTGGCCGGGCGAGCGAGCGAGCTGGCGAGCGGACGAGTGGAACGGCGAGCGAGCGAACGGACGGAGCGGGCGGCCGAGGGGCGCCGGGCTGTCGAATCTCACCGCGTGTAGTGGAACTCGAGCGCCAGGTCGTTCCAGTGCTTGTCGTCGGGCGGGATGACCGACTTGAGGGCGCAGTGCGCGTGTCCGCCCCAAGGCTCGTGGCAGGCGTACACCACGCCGTACTGCCCGCGGCCCAGCTCGGGGCCCAGCCGCGGCATGCCTACACGCGCGAGCGCCACGCGGTACACGCGCAAGACAAAAGTTAACGTCAATAGCCTCAACGGACTGGCGGGGCAAGCGCCGTTAGCACCGATGAAGGCCGGCACGGCACGTGAGGGGGGGCAGGCGGCTGGAACCCCGCCCGGCCGACTTTGTCTCTCTCGTGCCGTTGTTTACACACTGCAGCGGGCAGAGTCGAACCTCGGATTGCCGGGTTCGTAGCGCAGCGTGCCAACTGCCACGACTACCGCTACAACGTGTGCCGCAAGGGCATATCGAGCACGTACACATACGCACGGCACGCACACACACACGGCCGCAATGGTCAGCATGGGGCAGGGTGTCACACGGGTTTATGGACACACCGACGGGCAGGCGGAGACACAGAGACTTGTGGATTTAGAATGTCTGCAACAGAAAGAAACAAAACATCCCGCGTCCAGCCAAACCAGACTGTTGGGGCAAGTGCTGTTAGTGAGCCGTACCTATGAAGGTCGGAACGGCACACGAGGGGGTGGGTGACCAGCACCACGCCCGACCGCCTTTGCCTCCCCAGTGACGGTATTAACTACACACCGCACCAGACATTCATTTGATGCCGAGTCAACCTAGGGGAGGGCCCAGGACCGGTTCAAATAATCGTCACTGGGTGTTGGCCGTGAGCGGGAATCGAACTCGGGTGCCCGGGTTCGTAGCGCAGCGGCACGACCGCTCCCCATACGAACAGCACCGCGAACAGGCAGACGGGCGTGCAAAATCAGGTCACGTGGATACAAATGCATTTAGATACACAGCTATGCCGATATGCGGATAAAAGCGTGTCCCGTAGATTCGCAGGTACGTGAATACACGGCGCACGCACAGGCACAACAACCGCCATTCGCCACTAAGTGGCGGTGACGTCACCACGACGCTTGTGCCAGGCCATGTGCACCTTGAGGCCACGTGAAGTGTCGAACGCCCGCTGCCAGGAGGTCACGGGGCAGGCACACACACACACACACGGACACATGAAGGCGACTAATGCTACACATTAGTCAAGGTGTAACCGCGCCGTGCCCGAGGACACGGGCCCGCAGGCAACTCATCTCCAGCGTGCGGAGGTCACCAAGGTCGCCACACAATGTCCCCCAGTCCCCTCGGCATTGTGCGGCTCTCACGGCTCGCTCGCCCGCTCTCCCCCCGTCGCTTCACGATCCGGACAACCGGGGAATGGCGTTGGGCTGTCTCCATCCTTACCAGGTTTGCAAAAGAAGTCTGCCAAATGTCTTCCGGATTATTTGATCCAACCAGGTAAATTCCCCTGTGTTATCAAAACGCTCCTCTGCCCCGTCTTTGCTCAAATTCCACCACCCCACCCGCCCCCCCCCTATCAGCCCCCCCTGCAGTAATCAGGGATCCAATTTTTATTTTAAAACTATTTTTTATCTTTACCAGGTAAGGCCCCCCCCCACTGAGCGATGTGGCTCTTTTTCAGAAGCGACCAGGCCACAAATGATAGCTCAACACAGTTGGCTTATCGTCACGTGAAAATGCATACCAGCCAGATACTCTAAACGTGCGCTGTTGATTCTAAATGAGGAGGGAACAGCCGGAGGACCCGGAGAAAAATCGACGCGAGCACGGGGAGAGAAACACGCAAACTCCATATAGACAGGGGCGTCAAGGGTTGGGATAGAACCCACGACCTCCTGCATGACAGGCGAGGATGTCAACATCTCCTAGCCACCGTGGCGCCCCAAAGGGTGCGCTGCTCGCAAAGCGGCGGGTGACGCACCGCTCCCCCTCGACGCCCATTGCACGGACGCCGCTTTCAGCCTCGTGTAAGACCACACGGAGCTCCCAAGAGCCGAGAGCGTTGCAGGAAAACCAGCACTCACTTCGCCCACCCGGCGCCCGGCAAAACTTCCCGTGGCTTCAAGGCGGCGGCGGCAACGGCGAATTTGCATTTCGCCCGCCGAACACGTTGAGTCTCGGTGTGTGCACCACGACGGTGAAATCGCTCGCGAGAGCCAACGCCGCATCGCGCATCGCGCACCGCGCACTCGGTGGGCGCAAACGGACCGTCGATCCCGTCCGTCTCGGCGTACGGCGGCCGATGTGGACGCAGCGCGACGACTTCACGTGCGGGCGGGCGGTCAAGCCAGGCGACCGCGTCAGGAGACAGCGGAGTAGCGTTACCATCGCCGTGATGTCTCCTTCCTATTCGTGGATCGGGGGCATTGAGTCGTTACGCGTTTGCGTACCGTCTGTTTTGGATGACCGCAGTCGCACCGCCACTACTACTACTGGAGAGTTTTTCGTTTGTGCATCAGGTATCCGCATCTGCCGCGGTTTGCACGGACGCAGTTTACGGTGGACCACGGAGCATTTGTGGAAGATCAAAAGCGGGAACTTTTGCCATCGAAGCAGCGACCGAACATCGTCGACCCCCACCCCCCCGGTCCCCCGGGTGGCAACAACAACAGCAACAGCAGCAACACGTGCAACAACCGTTACTCATGCAAATAAACGATGGCGGTGGCGGCGCTCGGTCATCGTCCCGGGGTGACAGCTCCTCTGGGCGCGCCGTCCTGGCGAGCCGACCCCCTCTGGCAGGCCTGACCCCCCCACCCCCCCACCCCCCAAGACCGATCGCGGTGGTGATTGCGCTGACGTCAATTAAGCCCAGGGGGTGAGCGCGGACGTTCGTCCGAGCCGGCAGACGGACGCTCGGACGGGTCAGACGGGTCGGATGCGCGCGAGCGAGCGCACCGCATCGATCGGGGCGGCGATGCGGGCTGGGTGGCAGCAACCAGGTGCGCTTCCGCGGCGGTTTGGAACGCTCTTCTTTCCGATGTTAGGAAGCCACTGGTAGCTACGCACTTTTAAATCATCATCATCTCGATTGACAAACTCATTTCTTTAGAACTGCTCATCATAGTTTAGTTTGTTGTCCTTCCCCCCCCCCCCCCGTCACCTCAGATTAGCACGGTCGGCTTAAGTTCAACATTCATACACACGCAGGGAGTGTCCCGTGAGTTCGCTGCGCAGCGCGTATCGATTCTCCTAATCGTGTGTGTTTGCAATACACCCGTGGCGGGGAGCCGTCATCACCGCGGTCGTTAGCACCACACCTAGGAAAGGAGCTGCGGCGGTGGCGTTAAATACCCCCGCTCCCGCCCCCGCCGGAGCGTCTCAACGGCATCGACGTGAAACCGACAGCGGCGATCTACGACCACGGCGAGGCCACGCCGCCGCCCGCTAATTGCGTCGATTACCGAAAATCACGTCGCGTCGGCGCCCACGGTGCAGGGAGCGGCGACCCCGAGCGCACGCGAGATTAAATCCCGCGCCGGGGCCTCCGCCGGACAACAAAAGTAAACAAAAACAAACCCAAAGGCCAAACGAGAGCTTTTCACTTAGCCGATCGCGCACTCAAGAACCGACGGGATTTAATGTACACCTCGAAAACATAATGAGCCGCGTTCAATGCAACTGTGCTAATCATGGCAGATCCACCCACTGTGACCTTCACCCGCGGAAGCTCACGGAAAGCGTGGCGTGCAATCGCAGAGACACCGACCGGACCATCGACCACACAGCAGTGAGTCCGTGGGCCTCTGCCCGAGTCCGTGGGACTCTACGTGAACCTGCAAGTCACTGAGTGAGATCACATAGTAGTGAGACCACACAGTAGTGAACCGCTGTGAACAATGCGCGAGTCTGTGGGTCTCTGCGCAAGCCGTGCGAGTCATTGCCAACTCCAAAAATTCTACGGAAGCATCGAAGCCATCCACTGCACGTCCACTTACTCTGGACGTAGACTAATGCACCGCCATTCATGCAGAAGAGGAACAACACCATTCAGCTGTGACAATAGAGACGCGAGTATTAATGGGTCTGGCTATTTAAAAAAAAAAAGATTGCCTTATCACCCACACCGTTGCGACGACTCGGCTGGGCTAAAACTATTGGGGGGTTTACACCGGGGCTGGACACGCGGAGGAGTAATAGGCCCCCCCCCCCCCGACCCCTCCATCACACACACTACAACTAAATAATGTTTTATTTTAGCAGGTAAGGCCCATTGAGCTACATAGCTCTTTCTCCGAAGACACCTGGCTATCATCTTCTTGGTTCTTTCGGTAAAGTCACGAGAGAAGGGAAGTAATAAAATAATAAAAATAAAACAGACTAAAATAATTCTCATGACGTTTCGGCCACAACGCAAGCAGCCGTCCTCAGGCGAAGACCAGGTCTGTCGGGGAGACAGCGTCTGAATGAAACACCACCACGCTTGGAGCGTATATTTAAGCTGGGTTGAAAGTGGAAGAGCACCAAGAAGATGAATCCCTGCAGTCACGAAAGCTTTAAATCGAAAATTAGACCTGGCTATCGTGAATGATAGCTCAAACGAGTGGCTTATCATCATGTGGAAATATACAGCAGTAGCCAAATACTCTAAACACGTGATGATCATTCATTCTAAACGTGCAGGGAAAAACCGCAGGACCCAGAGAAAAATCCACATGACCATGTGGAGAGAGACACACAAATTCCAAATATGCAGCAGGCAATCAAGGTCGGAATCGAACCCACGACCTCCTGCATACCAGGTGAGGTAGTTAACATCTCTGCCCGGGGCAGCAAGAATTATCTGGAAAAATGAAAACCCTCCCAAAAAAAAATTAATTCTAAGTCGGCCGGAGCTTTGCGTTATTCAATACTCGCAAGCACAAAGACGCCGCTTCGGAGCCCAATTCACAGACCGCGAATTTGTCAGCTGCGTCAGAAGAAGGGCAGCTTGATTGATTGTTCCTATTTATTGGTCAGCCAGGTGGGAATGCATTGGGACAACGCGTTGAGCTGGGCGGTGGTGGCATTGGCGGCGGCGGCAGCAGCAGCAGCGAGGGTTGGTGGACACCACAGATATGTTAAATTTCGATTTAAAGCTTTCGTGACTGCAGGGATTCATCTTCTAAAAATAATAAAATAAAACATAACAAAATAATTCTCACG